GCTGAACTCTACGTTACTGAGGTTTGTCAATAATAACTTTACAGATCAAATGACAAGATCTTGAACTTGTTATCGGATGATAGATGAATTAAGTTGCTGACTATTGTACTGATTGAACTGCACTTTCAGGGTGTTCATCCACGTCTGATCACTGAAGGTTTCGAGATTGCAAACACAAACACGTTGGAATTGCTAGACACGTTCAAAGTGACACCAGCCATAGACCGTGCTCTTCTTATTGATGTTCGTTTGGATCTGATTTTATTTCTTCATGAATATAATCGATTGCATGAATATACAGAGATAAAGTTTGATGAGACCTTTGCAGTTTTCGATTGAAAGATGAATTTGTTACTGTGGAGTGTTGATAACAGATGGATGTGCATTTCAGGTGGCAAGAACCTCACTGAAAACTAAACTCAGTGAACGTTTGGCCGAGCATATAACCGAATGTGTTGTGGATGCTGTTTTGGCGATACGTAGAGATAACGAAACGGCACCGGATCTGCATATGATCGAAATACAGGTTCGTTTCGTTTCATTTCACAATCAGTTGGGTTATTTTTGAGGTTTAGTTTTGTGTATGCGTGAAGAAATATTCACGGTAACGTCGGAAAGATCAATAATATACAAATGAAAGTAATGAGAGTAGAATGTTAGTTATTGTATTCTTGATAATAACAAGAACTACAATCGGATAAAAGTAATGAAAATTGAAGGAGATGCAACACGAGAGTGATATGGATACGAGCCTGATCCGCGGTCTAGTACTCGATCACGGCGCACGTCACCCGGATATGCCGAAGAGCGTGCAGAATGCCTATATCCTGACGTGTAATGTATCGTTGGAATACGAGAAAACAGAAGTGAACTCGGGATTATTCTATAAGACTGCTGCGGAACGTGAGAAGTTGTTGGGTGCTGAGCGCGAGTTTATTATGCGTCGAGTGCAGAAGATTGTCGATCTGAAGAAGAAGGTGTGTGATGAAGTGTCGGCTGGAAAGGGGGATGGCAAAAAATGCGGATTCGTCGTTATCAATCAAAAGGTATATTTTGAGATTTCGTTGAGTGGTTTGTCGTGTTTATTTATGAAATTTTTCATTTCATTTCTTCTAGACGACGATTGCTTTTCGTGTTATATTTGTATGATTATTGCAGGGAATAGACCCTCCATCGTTGGATTTATTGGCTCAGCATGGCATATTGGCATTAAGACGTGCAAAAC